TGTAATAATGAATCATACTCTCTGTGTAATAATGAATCATACTCTCTGTGTAATAATGAATCATACTCTCTGTGTAATAATGAATCATACTCTCTGTGTAATAATGAATCATACTCTCTGTGTAATAATGAATCATACTCTCTGTATAATAATGAATCATACTCTCTGTGTAATAATGAATCATACTCTCTGTGTAATAATGAATCATACTCTCTGTATAATAATGAATCATACTCTCTGAGTAATAATGAATCATACTCTCTGTGTAATAATGAATCATACTCTCTGTGTAATAATGAATCATACTCTCTGTGTAGTAATGAATCATACTCTCTGTGTAATAATGAATCATACTCTCTGTGTAATAATGAATCATACTCTCTGTGTAATAATGAATCATACTCTCTGTATAATAATGAATCATACTCTCTGTATAGTAATGAATCATACTCTCTGTATAGTAATGAATCATACTCTCTGTATAATAATGAATCATACTCTCTGTATAGTAATTAATCATACTCTCTGTATAGTAATGAATCATACTCTCTGTGTAATAATGAATCATACTCTCTGTATAGTAATGAATCATACTCTCTGTGTAATAATGAATCATACTCTCTGTGTAATAATGAATCATACTCTCTGTGTAATAATGAATCATACTCTCTGTGTAATAATGAATCATACTCTCTGTATAATAATGAATCATACTCTCTGTATAATAATGAATCATACTCTCTGTGTAATAATGAATCATACTCTCTGTATAATAATGAATCATACTCTCTGTGTAATAATGAATCATACTCTGTATAATAATGAATCATACTCTCTATATATTACAGTTTTTTCCAAATGCTTACACACGTTTTCAAAACTGTCTCCTTTTTTAGAAACTCTACACACAATTCCCAAAACTGCACACACAAAATGGAAAATGCCTCACAACTCTTTCAAAATGTATCACTGCATTCAAAATGCCATAAACACATGTCAGAATGAAGCATTTGCATCAAATGGCAAACACTTCTTTCATAATAGTACATGTTTGGATATACCATGTAAACACTGTTGTTCTAAATCTAAAGCTCTTTGGTCTTTCATAGGCTTATATCTACATTTCAATACAATGTTCTACAGCGAAAGTAATCTGCTGAGAGGGCTAAGAAGTACACTGTAAACACCAATGCAATGTAGAAACAGAAAATATTAATTAGGCCAAACATTACTGTTGTATACAGCAGCATACAACAAAACCATAAACATATGTAAACCAAAAGTATATTCTTTAGAATACAGTAAAGAACACAATTGTGTGTGTGGGGGGGGGGGGGGGGCAGTCACCAGTGCTAAGCTACGCTTCATCTCTTCTCCGGGCTGGGTCTGGCCACAATACTTCGTCCACATCACAAGATAAGTTTTCTCTTGCCAAACATCGAGGGAAGTATCTCCTAGCATGGCGTATCCAACCTTGGACAGAGGAAACCTCTATGTCCCCACATGCGTCCTCCATTGCCTGGAGAAGCGGCATGCGGGCATAGGGTTGGCGATCATACACTTTCCAGCGCCAGGCTGAGAAGAATTCCTCTATGGGATTTAGAAAAGGTGAATATGGGGGTAGGTACAAAACTACATTTACATTATATTTTAGTCATTTAGTAGACACTCTTATCCAGAGCAACTTACAGTTAGTGAGTGCATACATTTTATTTAATTTTTTTCATCCTGGAATCGAACCCACAACCCTGGCGTTGCAAACGCCATGCTCTACCAACTGAGCTACATCCCTGGCGGCCATTCCCTCCCCTACCCTGGACGACGCTGGGCCAATTGTGCGCCGCCCCACGGGTCTCCCGGTCGCGGCCGGCTACGACAGAGCCTGGATACTACAAATTGTGGATGGGTGGCAAACCAGTTTTGGACCAGAAAAGCCCGGTGAAAACTAACATTGTCCCATATAACCACAAATCTAGCAGGCTCCTGATCTGGATCAGGGACAAGCATTGTGTAATTTGCATCCAGAAAAGTGAGCACATGGCCGGTGTTGTACGGACCCAGTGAGGCATTGGTTAGTGATCAGTTAAGCAATTAGTGTTTGCACATGTGAGGAGTGTGTGTGTGTGTGACCTGGTGAATAAGTGTAGCATTTTGATTGGTTGTGTTTGGAAAAGGAAAGCAAGTCACTTCCTGTTAGATTTCTGTGTTTTAGGTAGAGAATTGTGTATAGTGTTTTATGCAATTGACAACTGAGTCAAAGGCTGAGAAATAGCTTATGGTTTTGGAGATTTGGTGTGTAGTTTTGCACTTTGAGTGAGAGGTTTCAAAAATCGTGTGACATGAAAAGATTTTGTGTGTAAGCAGTTGGAAAAAACTGTAATGAATCATACTCTCTGTGTAATAATGAATCATACTCTCTGTATAATAATGAATCATACTCTCTGTATAATAATGAATCATACTCTCTGTATAATAATGAATCATACTCTCTGTATAGTAATGAATCATACTCTCTGTATAGTAATGAATCGTACTCTCTGTATAGTAATGAATCATACTTTCTGTGTAGTAATGAATCATACTCTCTGTATAATAATGAATCATACTCTCTGTATAGTAATGAATCATACTCTCTGTATAGTAATGAATCATACTCTCTGTATAGTAATGAATCATACTCTCTGTATAGTAATGAATCATTCTATAATAATATAATATAATATGCCATTTAGCAGACGCTTTTATCCAAAGCGACTTACAGTCATACGTGTATAATTTTTTTTGTGTATGGGTGGTCCCGGGGATCGAACCCACTACCTTGGCGTTACAAGCGCCGTGCTCTACCAGCTGAGCTACAGAGGACCACCCATACAAAGACATGAATCGTACTGCTGTCACAAGAGGGCACTACTGTCCTTCATTCCCCTGTTGTCATCAGAGACACACTAGGGCACCCTATTCCCTATATAGTGCACTACTTTTGACCAGGGCCTGATCCCTAAAAGCAGATGTTATTGGGGAGATACGGGCATCACATCGCAGCAGCATGGCACACATTCTCTGCCCTGCTCCCCAGGAATAGTGGTATGCTCTGTGGGTACCTTAAATTGCATAGCCTACTCTCCTCAAAATCTTAATGTCATCTTCAATCACTTCAACTAGTATAACATTAAACGAACACACATGCTATCAAAGTCAATTGTGGATACCTACGGTGATGAAATTGTCAGTAGAGCTTAACACAGCGTGGTTTCATCTATGTGCAGTTAAACTCATTCCCTAGATTTATAATGTGGCTCAGGGGCTTAAATACCTCTAGACCTTAGGAGGAAAGTCCATTTAGTTCCATTTCTCATTCGCTAGTACATTCCCCCGACTGCTATTGAAACAGCTCTAATACACTGTTCTGTAACCTTAGCGATGCTGCTGAATGGTTTATATATTTGTCCACAGGCACATACAATACAGTAGAAATCTACCTCTGGTGAGAGACTGTGGGCTACCACTGAATTGTGCTGTTGTGCGTAACAGCACATCTCAAGGCCAAAGTGACCATAGAATGAGAGTTAACCAAACAACCTCTACACAATAACACAGATGTAGTGGTACTGGAAGCTGAGCTGGGGAGACTGACTCCTGGCTGCTTGGTTTCTCCCCAACTCTTCAGTTTTCTCCTCCATTCATGCACCATGGTGGAGAGCCAGGTAGCGGCAGTGTTCCTTTCCCCCTGGTCTTCACTCCTTTGCAGGCTTCCCCAGTGAATCTCCCTCCTCCTCTCCTACCGCCTACTGACAGGACTACAGACCTCCCTCCATCTACCTGATCTACCTGCCTCTGTCTCTTCTGTCTCTACCTGATCTACCTGATCTACCTGCATCTGTCTCTTCTGTCTCTACCTGATCTACCTGTTCTACCTGCCTCTGTCTCTTCTGTCTCTACCTGATCTACCTGTTCTGCCTGATCTACCTGCATCTGTCTCTTCTGTCTCTACCTGATCTACCTGCATCTGTCTCTTCTGTCTCTACCTGATCTACCTGTTCTGCCTGATCTACCTGCATCTGTCTCTTCTGTCTCTACCTGATCTACCTGATCTACCTGCCTCTGTATCTTCTGTCTCTACCTGATCTACCTGCCTCTGTCTCTTCTGTCTCTACCTGATCTACCTGTTCTGCCTGCCTCTGTCTCTTCTGTCTCTACCTGATCTACCTGATCTACCTGATCTACCTGCCTCTGTCTCTTCTGTCTCTACCTGATCTACCTGCATCTGTCTCTTCTGTCTCTACCTGATCTACCTGCCTCTGTCTCTTCTGTCTCTACCTGATCTACCTGTTCTGCCTGCCTCTGTCTCTTCTGTCTCTACCTGATCTACCTGATCTACCTGCCTCTGTCTCTTCTGTCTCTACCTGATCTACCTGTTCTGCCTGCCTCTGTCTCTTCAGTCTCTACCTGATCTACCTGATCTACCTGCATCTGTCTCTTCTGTCTCTACCTGATCTACCTGATCTACCTGCCTCTGTCTCTTCTGTCTCTACCTGATCTACCTGATCTACCTGCCTCTGTCTCTTCTGTCTCTACCTGATCTACCTGCCTCTGTCTCTTCTGTCTCTACCTGATCTACCTGATCTACCTGCCTCTGTCTCTTCTGTCTCTACCTGATCTACCTGATCTACCTGCATCTGTCTCTTCTGTCTCTACCTGATCTACCTGCCTCTGTCTCTCTGTCTTCGTCTCTATACCTGATCTACCTGATCTACCTGCCTCTGTCTCTTCAGTCTCTACCTGATCTACCTGATCTACCTGATATACCTGCATCTGTCTCTTCTGTCTCTACCTGTTCTACCTGATCTACCTGCCTCTGTCTCATCTGTCTCTACCTGATCTACCTGATTTACCTGATCTACCTGATCTACCTGCCTCTGTCTCTTCATTCTCTACCTGATCTACCTGAATCTGTCTCTACCTGATCTACTATATTACTCTGCCTCTGTCTCTATCTGATCATGTTCTACTACCTGATCTACCTGATCTACTCCTCTGTCTTCTACCTGATCTACCTGATCTACCTGATCTACCTGATCTACCTGCCTCTGTCTCTACCTCAGTCTCTACCTGATCTACCTGATCTACCTGCCTCTGTCTCTTCTGTCTCTACCTGATCTACCTGATCTACCTGATTAACCTGCCTCTGTCTCTTCTGTCTCTATCTGATCTACCTGATCTACCTGATCTACCTGATCTACCTGATCTACCTGCCTCTGTCGAACAATATACAAAATCTGTCTCTACCTGATCTACCTGATCTACCTCCTCTGTCCTCTTCTGTCTCTACCATGATCTACCCTGATCTACCTGTATCTGTCTCTTCTCTCTCTACCTGATCTACCTGATCAACCTGCCCTGTCCTCTTCTGTCCTCTACCTGATTACCTGATCGACCTGTATCTAACCTTAACTCTGTCTCTTCTGTCGTCTACCTGATCTACCTGATCTAATACCTGATCTACCTGCCTCTGTCTCTTCTGTCCTCTAACTGATCTAACCTGCATCTGTCTCTTCCTGTCCCTCTACCCTGAATCTACCTGATTTACCTGATCTACCTGCATCTGTCGTGTTCTGTCCCTCCTACTGATCTACCTGGATTTTACCTGATCTACCTGCATCTGTCTCTTCTGTCTCTACCTGATCTACCTGATTTACCTGATCTACCTGCATCTGTCTCTTCTGTCTCTACGTGATCTACCTGATTTACCTGAACTACCTGCATCTGTCTCTTCTGTCTCTACGTGAATCTACCTGCCTTGGTCTGTTGTCTCTGCTCTGCTGTGACCTGGATAACTTATGCCATCCCCTTTAACACACACCTCCACACCTAATCAGCTTTGCTTCCTTCACCATGTTGTTGCTTGATCTCTCTCTCTCTCCTTGTCCTCTTCTTCTTCTTGTTCCTGTCTTTTCCCACCTCCTCCTGTCTCTCTCTGTCTCTGCCGTGTTGTCTCCTTGCCCCTCTCGCTCCTTCCTAGTGGGGAAGTGCCAGGGGGGCAGACAGGGGCATCGGTAGCGGTGGGGGTGGGGGGGGGCGGGGAGGGTCCGGCGGGTCCCTGTTGCAGTAACAGTATGAAGATCATGCCTGGGGGTGGAGTCAGACTCATGTCTGGCGGTACCAGAATGGTGATGTCGGGGGGCAAGGCCGGGAAGTGGCAGGCGGTCCAGAGCCACATGCAGGCAGGAGGACTCAGACCCACCAAGTGAGTTATAATGGTTGGATATAGACACTGTTCTGGGGAGATGGTGGATACACTATACACACTGAGTGTACAAAACATTAAGGACACTTTCCCCCCTTTTGCCATCAGAACAGCCTCAATTCGTCAGGGCATGGACTCCACAAGGTGTCGAAAGCATTCCACAGGGACGCTGGCCCATGTTGACTCCAATGCTTCCCATAGTTGTGTCAAGTTGGCTGGATGTCCTTTTGGATGGTGGACCATTCTTGGTACACACGGGGAAACTGTTGAGCGTGATAAACCCAGCAGCGTTGCAGTTCTTGACACAAACCGGTGCACGTGGCACCTACTACCATACCCCGTTCAAAGGCACTGAAATATTTTGTCTTGCTCATTCACCCTCTGAAAGGCACACATACACAATCCATGTCTCGATTGTCTCAAGGCTTAAAAATCCTTCTTTAACCTGTCTCCTCCCCTTCATCTACACTGATTGAAGTGGATTTAACAAGTGACATCATACAGGGATCATATCTTTCACCTGGATTCACCTGGTCAGGTTATGTCATGGAAAGAGCAGGTGTCCTTAATGTTCTGTACACTCATTGTAAAGTATATTGATAGCACAGGGCAGCAGCAGGGCTATTAGCCACATGCAGGCAGGAGGTCTCAGACCCAACAAATGGTACAGGTACAGATGTAGGATCTTAAACTGATCCAGTTTGCTACAGCAGGAAAATAATCCTGCAGCAACAGGAAATGTTCATTATTATGTGGATTATAATTAATTGCATTTTTTATTTTTTTGGTGGGGTTGATACATTTTTCGTAAGGGAAACTTCAGAAGCCTTTTTAAACCTCAAATACGCTACAAGTTTGAAAGTTCTCCTGCAACAACATTACTAGGCACTCTACAGCTTGCTTTATATAAGACTGTATACGGGTCTCTTTCAGACTGCTTTTTAAATCGTCTGGTATTGAACTTGTCAAAAGGGTAAAGGAAAGTCAAAAGGGGAAATGAAATAGTTGAAGAGGCCACTTGGAAGAAGATGGAGGCTTTATATAAAGAGAGAGAAAGACAGGAGGCAGAAAGATGGGACCGAGAAGGAAGAGAGAGAAAGCGAGGGAGAGAGGGAAGGATGGAGGGAGGGAGGGAGGAAGAGAGAGAGAGAGAAAATGGGGTGAGGGACACCAACACAAGAGACACCAACACAAGAGAGACCAACACAAGAGACACCAACACAAGAGACACCAACACAAGAGACACTGACACAAGAGACACCAACACAAGAGACACCAACACAAGAGACACCAACACAAGAGACACCAACACAAGAGACACTGACACGAGACACCAACACAAGATGACGACACAAGAACAACACTAGAGACACCACACAAGAACACCAACACAAGAGACCACCAAACACAAAAACCAACACAAGAGACACCAACACAAGACACCACCACAAGAGGACACCAACACAAGAGACACCAACAAGAGACACTGACACAGTAGACACCAACACAAGAGACACCAACACAAGAGACACCAACACAAAGACACTAACACAAGAGACACCAACACAAGAGACACTGACACAAGAGCACCAACCAAACACAAAAGAGACTGACACAAGAGACACCAACACTAAGAGACCACCAACACAAGCGAAGACACCAACACAAGAGACACCAACACAAGAACACCACACAAGAGACACCAACACAAGAGACACTGACACAAGAGACACCAACACTAGAGACACCAACACAAGAGACACCAACACAAGAGAACCAACACAAGAACAACACATGACCACAAGAGACACCAACACAAGAGACAGCAACACTAGACACCAACACAAGAGACAAAGACACAAGAGATACCAACACAAGAGACACCAACACAAGAGACACCAACACAAGAGACACCAACACAAGAGACACCAACACAAGAGACACCAACACAAGAGACACTGACACAAGATACACCAACACAAGAGACACCAACACAAGAGACACCAACACAAGAGACACTGACACAAGAGACACCAACACAAGAGACACTGACACGAGACACCAACACAAGAGAGACTGACACAAGAGACACCAACACTAGAGACACCAACACAAGAAACACCAACACAAGAGACACCAACACAAGAGACACCAACACAAGAGACACCAACACAAGAGACACTGACACAAGAGACACCAACACTAGAGACACCAACACAAGAGACACCAACACAAGAGAGACCAACACAAGAGACACTGACACAAGAGACACCAACACAAGAGACACCAACACAAGAGACACCAACACAAGAGACACCAACACAAGAGACACCGACACAAGAGACACCAACACAAGAGACACCAACACAAGAGACACCAACACAAGAGACACCAACACAAGAGACACCAACACAAGAGACACTGACACAAGAGACACCAACACTAGAGACACCAACACAAGAGACACCAAAACAAGAGAGACCAACACAAGAGTCACCAACACAAGAGACACCAACACAAGAGAGACCAACACAAGAGACACCAACACAAGAGACAACAACACAAGAGACACTTACACAAGATACACCAACACAAGAGACACCAACAAAAGAGACACCAACACAAGAGACACCAACACAAGAGACACCAACACAAGAGACACTGACACAAGAGACACTGACACAAGAGACACCAACACAAGAGACACCAACACAAGAGACACCAACACAAGAGACACCAACACAAGAGACATTGACACACTCACAGTCTGTTACATACTCACAAACAGCTTCTCTCTAATAAGTATTTTTGTGTACGTTTCTCGTTCAACTAACAGTCTGAAGGATCGAGATCTTCTAACTTCTAACTCGAGACTTTGTAAACAGACTGTGATGGAGAACAGCAGTTTGAGTTTCACATGATGTGTGTGTCTTCGACGCGGCACTGGTGCTCGCTGTCTGAATGACGTGTTTTAGAGCCTAATCACAACGTGTCAGAAAACGAGACGGTTAATTTAGCTTCTCCACCCTCTTTCGTTTCGCATCTCAAGTCTTTTTCACATCTCCTGCTGTCAGTGATTTCTCTCTCTCTCCGCAACACGTTCACTCCTTCACAACCTCCTCCCATCTTTCACTCCTCTCATCTCCTCTCATCTTTCTCTCTTTGCCCCCTGTCTATAATTGGATTCTATTTCCATGATGCTATAAGTGTCTGTGTCTCTTGTGTTGGTGTCTCTTGTGTTGGTGTCTCTTGTGGTGGTGTCTCTTGTGTTGGTGTCTCTTGTGTTGGTGTCTCTTGTGTTGGTGTCTCTTGTGTCGGTGTCTCTTGTGTCGGTGTCTCTTGTGTCGGTGTCTCTTGTGGCGGTGTCTCTTGTGTTGGTCTCTCTTGTGTTGGTGTCTCTTGTGTTGGTGTCCCTCACCCCATTTTCTCTCTCTCTCTCTCTCTCTCTCTCTCTCTCTCTCTCTCTCTTCCTCCCTCCCTCCATCCTTCCCTCTCTCCCTCGATTTCTCTCTCTTCCTTATCGGTCCCATCTTTCTGCCTCCTGTCGTTCTCTCTCTTTATATAAAGCCTCCATCTTCCTCCAAGTGGCCTCTTCAACTATTTCATTTCCCCTTTTGACTTTCCTTTACCCTTTTGACAAGTTCAATACCAGACGATTTAAAAAGCAGTCTGAAAGAGACCCGTATACAGTCTTACATAAAGCAAGCTGTAGAGTGCCTGGTAATGTGAGGAGCACAGTGTTGACCCAGTTCAGATAGCCTGGATTCCACTCTGTCAGTGAAGGGAGAAAGAAGATACATTTAGAGAGTTGTGAAACACTTTTAAGGAACTTTGTGGGATACTGAGCTAGAAAAATTAAACTAACATCTCCTAGTAATATGCTGCGTTTTATAGATAACTGAACTAAAACAAGCAGGGACTATCTTGATCTAATATAGAGGTACTGCTAGTAAAGCAGGGGAACGACTTGAAAACAGAATAAGAAAGATAGAAGACATTAGAAGATAAAGGAGAGGAAGACAGGAGAGGACTGAGAAGAGAGGGAGAGAGGGCGTCTCTAGGGGCGGAGCATGTATTTTAATGAGGAAATAGATTTAGACGGAGAAAAGAGAAGGAAGAGAGGATGATATAGTGCTGTGGGAGAGAGGAACAAACCATAAAGCCTTCGCCCTCGAAGAGCCAGCAGCGTCCGCCACGTTGGGACGCCACACACACACCCCGACACACCCGCCTCAACGCCGAACAGACGCCCATACGGACCTTTCAGATCCGACCAATGCCGACTCGGACCATGCCCATGCCCAGACACACACTGTTACACACACACACACACACACCTGCTGCCGCCACAGACCGCGGGGCGCAGGTTTTCTAGGGACGAAAGGAGGTTCACACTGCCGAGCATCACTCTGGCTGGCCCTTCTACTGCTACTATTGGTGCTGCCTCAACCTGCTCTCTCTCTCTCTCTCTCTCTCTCTCTCTCTCCTCCTCCTCCTCTCCCCGCCTCCTCCCCGCAACACCACTCCCACCGCCTCTCACTCCTTCCATTTCTCCCCCGCCCACCCTCCTCCATCAACACCGGTTTCTCCCTTCTCTCCTGTACCGCCTTACATCTTCCCCTCACATGATTCCTTCCCTCTCCTCCACTCTTGTCTGTCTCTCTGTCCCCTCAAACCTCTCATGTCCTCTCTCTCCAAACTCTACTGTCCCTCCCTCCTCCTTCTTTCACCGCTTCCCCTCCTCCCTCACCTCACTCCTCCCCTCTCCTCCTCCACCGCCCTAACATCTGCCGCTCCCTCCTCCTCCCCTCCCTGCTGCTCTACCCTCCCAGCTTCGGAGACTCAGCAGGGCCTCTGTCCTCTGCCTCCACCCTGGATACCCTCCCCTCCGCTGGGCCGCTGGCCCGGCCACGCACCCTGCAGCGCCAGCAGAGCCTCCAGCAGCCTCTCATCCACCCACCTGCCCCGAGCCTCACCCACCTCCCACCCACCTCCTCACAGAGCCTGGGCCAGCTACATCAGGTGGCCCCGCCGGGGCCCGGCCAGCCTGGGGGAGGCGGGGGCAGTGGGGGAGGTGGGGTAGGAGGAGGGTTAGGAGGTGGAGTCACTCGTGGAGGCCCCAGGGGGGCGCGAGGGAGTCCGGCAGTGGCAGGCGCCTCACGATACAGGGGAGGAGGAGGAGGAGGAGGAGGAGGAGGAGGAGGAAACCCTGGCTCCTGGGACCACATGATGGGCCAATTGAAAAACAGAGGCCTGGATGCCAAGTCCTTCCTGTGAGTCACTCTCTGTTTCTTCTTTTCCCTCTGTCTGGGTTGGTTGGTAACTGTCTCTGTCTGGGTTGGTTGATAACTCCCTGATAACATGTCTTTAAACACCATTCCCTGAAACCATATCTAGTCTTTAACCACCATTCCCTGATACCATATCTAGTCTTTAAACACCATTCCCTGATACCATATCTAGTCTTTAACCACCATTCCCTGATACCATATCTAGTATTTAAACACCACTCCCTGATACCATGTCTTTAAACTTTGTGCTTCTGACATCCAGGGAAGGATATTCCACAGCGTAGACATTGTGTCATGACATTGCGTTTGTGTGTATGTGCGTGCGTCCGTGAGTGTGTTTGTGTGTGCATACGTACGTGTGTGTTTGTGCTTGCGTGCATGTTTGTGTGTACGTCTCTGACTATTTTCATACTTTACATACAGAGTACATATGTGACCGACCGGCTCGATTCTGTCTTATGTAGCAACATTTGAAACAGTGTTTTTTTTTATATTGGATAAAAGTAGAGACTCAGAGCTAGAAAATGGTATATCATACACTACAGTTGAGGAACAATGGGAAAGTAATTCTGATTTGAAAGTTAATTAACTTGTAAACCCACTTTTGAGAAAATGGCCCTTGAATGTTTTGGTATACCTACTGGAGAGCTCTTCTTTGTCTACACCCATTCAGCATCGTTCACACCCTCTTAAGCCTTAGCCCCACCCATCTCTTTAAGGATTCACGTGTGAGGCCATGTGCTAAACAACCAAAGATTTCAAGACTAACGGCTGGTTTATACTACGGGTGTGTTCGTAAATTTAATCTGGAGTGCCAAAACAACTTTCTGACAAAATTAGAAACTTGTAATATCTGAAAATGTAGCTAGCTAGACTATCTTACCCGGATACATATACGGATACATGGATGGATGCTTCTCCCTCTCTGTCACGGATGCCATGGTTGCCCTTGGTTTGAAGATGTA